GTTGCAAATATAATATAGATTCGTTTTGACCACATTTGCTTCAGTTGAAAGAGAAGAACTTATTTTTTAAATTCCACTCTCTTAACCAATCCATTACCTAATCTTTCTATTTCTAATACAATCGCTTTAGTATTTATGATAACTTTGTTAGAATAAATTTTTTCACCATTTTGGGTTGGTTGTTTTTTGGGCTCACCCTTCTTTACTAATACCTATGTAGGATGTTGAAAGACGTGTTACAATTTAAAAAGATTTTAAAATTCAAATAGGATATAGGATATTAAGGTACTAACCTTATCTCTTTCTTCGTTTGATATAAGATCGACAGGAATACTAGAAAATCCAATGTTGACTTTCCATGTTTTAGGAATAAAATTTGTAGGATTCCATACTAGGCCGATAAAGGTACCACCATATTTATCATAAAAGAATAATAATGACGATGTATCTGAATAGACCTTTTCTAGTTCATTTATATAACATTCCACTGGATCAAATCCAATTATTGGCCATTTTTCCTCCGACTCATTCTCATCTTCCTCATTTGACTGTTCATTTTTTTCTTTATCATCTACTTCTATATTCCTTTTCTCACTTATTCCCGCTTCCAATTCAAAAAGTTTTAAAATTTCTTCACGTTTTTCATTTTCTCTATGATCTTTATCTCTTATAAAATAGGATTTGTCGGGATCTAAATTTTGATAATAACGCGTGCACACACTTAGATTCAAATGTATTATCACGTCAAAATCTTGTAATGGCGTAACAAATAATCTCTAAAAAAATTTGCAAAAAAAATCAGAAGAAAATTCAAATTAAATTCAAGAGAACGAAAAAGATCAATATATATTAACACCTTGAATCCTTTATCGTCTACAACTTTTCCGTTAATAATTTCATCGACACATTCAATTGCAGCTTTAGCTAATTCCTTAATTCTAATAGCCACAACTTTACTAGGTTTCTCCTCTCCCCATATTACGCCTTCATTAGACATTGTATTGATAGTAGCCAAAAACATCGTTGAATGTTTAAAATTTCCATTTGCTCTTGTATTCTTAAACTTTTCTAAAAGTTTATCAAAAACGCTTTTCTTTATTGTCTCATCGTTGACATTTGTTCCGTTCTCAACGGTTTTTGTACTAGAAGTACCAATTACAACACTTCCTTCTTTGCTATTATTTGATTCATCTAAATCGACGATAACGGGATCATTTTTCCAATCCCATTCTACAAGGAATTCCAAAACTCTCAGAAATCCCACAAATCCGCTCGAAGGTCTTCTCCAAGGATTAGGATTTAAATAAATCACAGCACATAGCACCTCAATAAATTCTTCATCAATATGAATTGATGTTAATAAATGTGCACTAAACCATCTTTTAGATAATCTAATGGTTAAAGAAAGTGAAGGGTGTTTATTACATAATGTTTGTATTTGCGTATTATGTAAAGGTAAATCAAGAAATTTCCTTCTTAAACGAGATAAAGCTTTCGTATAAAGGTCTCGTTTTGCTGGAGCTGAATTTTTATCTTTTATACTACGGTCCAATAATGTCAATTCACGTTCATGATGTATAAAACATCTAAACGTAAATCTTGTGTTGGTAAAATATATCTCTAAACATGTAGTAGTTGATATTATCGCATTTAAATTTGACGTAGCGACAACTTTTGTTTTTGTTTCAGGAAATTGTTTTCGAAACTGATTCGATAAACAAATATAGAATGCTATCTTCATTTTCTGTATAGCAACAAGATCATTAGGCCATTTTGCCGAATACTCAAACTGTATAATTATATCAATAGGTTCGTTATAATGAGATTGGAGCGCATCATCATCACCATCCTTTAATTTCCAATGAATTGGTTGAGGTATGAACACAGAAGAATATCGAAGCGAAGGACTCGATCCTTTAATACTTGAAATTCTTAAAGGTATATCCTCTAATGCGTAAAATTGCTTAACCAATTTATCATATGCACTCATAACATGTTGAAATCCTTGGTTACTTAACTCTGGATTCCAAATTCTTTTTGGAACATCCCTAGAAGGTCTAACAAATTTATTTAGTTGTCCTGCCCAATATTGTATTCCTTTGTTCTCTTTAATTCTATAATGCAATTCCATCAAATGTAAAACAATTTGATTAACCACCAAACTCCTTGATTCAATTCCTTGTTTAGAATCCCAAACTACACATTCAAGGATACTTCCGTCTTTAAATCTTCTAACTTCTGCCTTCTTTCCCCATAATTTACGAAACTTAGCTGCTGCATTTTCATCTTCAGGTGATGGACCATAATCAACAAGTCGATTGGATTCATCAGGATTAAATATAAATCCAATATAAAGATTTGTATTAGATGAAATATACGTTTTTGATTTTTCAGAAGTGGACCAAGGTGGTAATTTGTTATAATTGACTGCGACTAAATTGACCCTGTTTGTAAGTCCTTGCTTAAGTAATTTTGGTATTGTCTTTGCAAAGTGTACAAAAGTATCAGGAAAATCCAACTTGGCAGCTTTATTATATTCATTGTATGATTTTGGGATTTGGGTTATCCTGATGTAAAAGGTAAGAAATTTAGATTCCTGAATCATGGAATAGGTTTCAAAAATATTTGAAACTTACCTTGCGAAGTTATCGTATCTTAATTTCACATTATCAACTCTTTTCAAGAACAAAGCTTCAAATCTATCCACGTGAGGTTCATTAAAATACTCCATTGCCAAAGAGGCCTCATGTTGCAGCTTTTTGAATTAACAGAACAGATATTATTATAAAATATATTATTATAAAACAATAGCTTAATTATTTAATTTACCTGATCTAAAGCGGCTTTCGACATTCTACCAAATAAATTTAAAGTTCCATAATTGTCAACACATACCACTTCAAAATTATCTTTGAATACATTCTCGTTAAACTAAAAATAAAAATAATATTTATATGGTGCATATTCAGTGAAATTAACAACAATTTCCCTGGCTCAATCCGACGCAGGTAGTAAGTAAATACCTCATTAGATTTAGAGCTATTATCCATAAATACAGGATTGGTAACAAAATCATGATTCGCTACAAAAAGATAAATAAAATCAATTAATATGTTAAAGTGACGATATAAAATT